TTTTCATTTTTCTTGTTTGATAAACATTAACGGACGAAACTCAACAAGACTTCTAGAGTGTACTCACTTTTTGAGTACACAAAAACAACATGAGTCAACATGTGATCTATAAACCAGCAGTACGTTTTCATGAGCAAGTAAAAAGTGAACACAATCGACTGTTCATATAATTCTCTATGTGGTTTGAATAAATTCGATTCAGCCAAAGAAGAGAAAAAAACTCATTTTGAAATTGAATAAGTGATGTATAGTGTAACGACAAACTGGATTGGAGTAGCTTACCGCCACCCTCGGTATATATGTTTATTCACTACTTCACATATCCAGAGTGTAACAACTTCATACATAACACACGTATATATAGGAGAGAGATAGGAGAGAGACAGGAGAGAGAGATATTAGAACAATGGAAAGAGAACAGAAGGAGGAAGAAGGAGAATCATCGAAGCGTGTCATCAATATCGGCACATAAAGCTTTGGAAAAATGGAGTCAGCAGACTGAGATCAAAAGACAGTGTTCTCACATAATTTGTGTCTTTTCTCCAGAGATGGGCAAGTCAGAGGTTTTAAGGTTCAAGTCAAGTCAAGTCATTGAAACGAAAGCCAAAGTCCAGTCAAGTCAAGTCAAAAAATGACTTGACTTGCCCATCTCTGCTTTTCTCCGATGACTGACTCAGATATAAATCTCGACATATCGAGCGTCAAACAGCAGCACGTATTGCTCTCAAAATGCGCTTGTTTAAAAATTGCGTGACTTTTAATCTGAGTGTTTTAACATTGAAGAAAAATGTATGAGATATGTTTATGCAACCCTGTTCTATTTGCAATCATAAAGGAAAGAAGAATCTACTGTTCATCGAAACCAAGAAGACCTCTCGTTTCTTTTTGTGTGAGATACTTCGTACAGATTAACCTTGTGTATGTAGAACGCAACATAATTGTAAAACTAAATGACATGAAATTAAAAGGAAAATATTCTTTTATTTCTTGTAAATGTATTCAACGGAATCTATTTTGTTTGTACAGAAATAAAAAATGATGTCAATAATCTAATTTTATTATATTTGTGGTCGATTCTTCAAATAAGTTGCTACATTGGTATTGGCTTCCACTTGATCACGATTGCGTTTTAATGATGGATACTTATCAAGAATATTAGGATCGCGTAATAATATACTTTGGCTCGCATTATAGAAATGTAGATCAGCCCATGTAAGATTATTACCAACGAAGTATGGACCACCATTACCAAATGTTTTTAATAAAATTTCAAGATGATTGAGTAATTTCGGCATTTCTTCACTCAGAAATTTTTCTTCAAGTATTTTCTTTTTTTCTTGATCCTGTTCAAACATAATAGGAATGAATTTTGCGGTTACATCCGCAATTGTATCGACAACAGCATCTGCTTGAGCTTGTTCCAGATTGTCTTTACCAGCGAGATGAAATTGTTTAGCAAGAAAACGAGTTATGGCCAATGATTGAGGTAATTTGACATCGTCTACTTCAAGAACAGGTAGCTGACCAAGTGGCATCTCTGATTTGTGTGATTGCCATTCATTTTGATCGTAACGGATATCGTCAAATTTCTGATCAGCGACAGCAAAAATTAAACGAGCTGTTTCTGCACGTCCACGTGTATTGAAATAGTAGAGCTTATATGTAGACATATTATCTTCTGTGTGTGTGTCACTTTTCTTCTATCTTGCTGTTAATAACGTTTTTTCTTCGTCCTTTATACTATCGTTTTAGAGAACAAGAAAGAAAAAAACAGGGTACCTTGCGTTCTTCGTCACACAAACCCACAACGTGGTGGCAAACAATTTATTATCAAAGGTTGGCCAGAAACAAGTGGTCTCTCTCGTTTCTTGGATCTTTGTACTGCTGATTTATTGCTCAATACGTTCTATATTTTGAGCAGAAATCGGCGCGGAGAAAATAAAAAAGAATTAGAAATTAGATTAATGATCGAGGTGCATTAATAAAAGATTGCAAAAGAATCAAAAGGACTCAATTCTTGTACTAGGCAAGTTATTTTATGTCGAAAATCTGACAGGAAATCTTTATTTGATAAGTAATATTATTCAAATTTTGAATGAATAACCAAAATAAAATCATTATCATTTCTATGATTGATGTCGCATTGCAATTCTCGTGATATATTGAATAAAAAGAAATGTTCCGCAGAAAAGCTTCTCTAGCGTGTAACTCATTCTTATACAGCTGTATTGATGACTACAATATATTGAATCTAATCGTTCCAATATTCATTCATTTTCCCATGTAAAAAATGACCGGAAAAATCAGATTTTAATCGATTATAATCTAAGATATCGGCATTATGGCTTACACGAGTGAGTGTGAATCGATGTCGTATACAGAAATGTGTCAAGAGTAGAGCCGGTACTACACTTACTATTTGTTGGCGCAAGGAGTCAGAAAAAATAATCAAAAATTCAAGTTTCTAAGTGAAAATGGGAGAAAAGCGCATTTTTTAGTCACAGCAATTAAAATCGATTAACAGTCGAATAATAGGTCAAAATTTATTAACGATCAACAATTTATTAATAATTAAATTTTGTTCCCACTAATTAACTAATCGATTATGCGCAAATTATAATTAAATTAATGTTCAATTAACATTTATTTATTTGAAAACAGTGCCGAGAATTTCTCTCTCATCAGTTCGTTTCGTTTTATATTAAGATTAATTTTACATTTTACTATTCACTTGTTTGGATATTTTCCTTTTTTCTTTGTTTTTTCTGATAGCGAAACGGAGTGACAAGACTTATGCTGTTCGATCTAACCTACGCATTTTTATCTTCTGTTCCGCTATGGGAAAAAAAACAAAAAGAAAAAAAGAAAATATTCAAATCTGTGAATCGTAAAATGTAAAACTAATCCTAATATAAAAGGAAACAAACTGATGAGACATAAATTCTCGGCACTGTTTTCCAATAAATAAATAAATGTCAATTTAACATTAATTTAATTATAATTTGAACATAATCGATTAGTGAATCAGCGGAAAGAAAATTTTTATTATCTATACTCATGTTGCATACTTCAGATAAGTGACGAATAAGATAGATTGGTGAATAGATATTAAATTCTACGGCTAGCACAGGCATTGGTGAAAAAAGACAAAACACGACTTATCTAACCAGTTTTTAGTATTCAGAAAACTACAACCGGAACTAACGGATGGCCCAGATTAAATAGATCTCTCAGTATTCTGCATATTTTTCATCTATAATTCGGCATCGAAAAAAAAACTTTTTTATAGAAAGAGTCCTTGTCAAATTCTCTGCAAAACGTAGATATTTTTATTATCTTAAATAGTCTCTATTCATTTTTTGACATGCGATACAATCGATTGGTCCACGAGTTACAACTTTCAAACATAACATTTTGTCGAATCTTTTTTACTGAATGTGTTAATTCTTGGATCATCGTTGCTTTGGATGTCGCTCTATTGCAATCAATGAACTTTATAATTTCATCCCATATACAGTAATCCAATGGATTGAGATCAGAACTATTAGGTGGCCAATGATCTTTATCGATAAATCCTGGAAAATTGTCATGACACCATTGTTGTGTTAATTGATGAACGTGGGGTTTAGCACCGTCTTGTCGGAATGTCCAGTCATTTCCGAAGACATGATTTCCATACTTAAGCGCCACAGGGAACATCTATTTAATGTATCGCTCATGGCCGACTGTACCTTGATCAAATATCACCAAAGATGATACACCTTTTGAACAAACACCAAGCCAAACCATGACCTTTTGGGGAAATGCTTTTTTCTGATGAATACCACCTTTTTTATCAGCTTCATCACGATTTACAGTCCAAACACGATCGTTTTTGGCATGGTAAACACCATCAATGTCGAACACCTTTTCATCAGAAAACAGTATTTTTAATGTTTTCTGCTTTCGAAAATTTGTTCGTATCCAGTTGACAATTGTTTTTCTTTTTTCTTTATGCCCTTCGGTAAGTGCTGGCTCGATCAAATATTTATATGGTCGACAGGCACGATCATATCGAAGAAATCGTTAAGCACTTGTTCGAGACATACCTAGTTCTAGTGCAAGTTTTCGACTTGATATCTTATTTTGTTGAAGCTTCTGTTTGACCTTCTTTATAGCATCTTCAGTTCGAATTGTACGTAGAGGACCTGGTGATGTTGTCAAATTGATAAAACCGGTTTCATCAATCATTTTGCACCATCTTTTAATAGTTGTCAAACCAAGTACTCCATTCAAATCAGGAAAAATTTTCGTTCGATAATCACCATTCTGATGCTTCAAAGCTACCACTTTCTGTAAATCTTCACTTTTCATTATCAAAGAAATAACTGAAACTTTTTCGAACAACGTAAAGAAATAAAAAATAGGTATTGAGACAATTTTCCAGGATTTATCGATAAGGATCATTGGCCACCTTATAGTTCTGATCTCAATCCATTGGATTACTGTATATGGGATGAAATTATAAAGTTCATTGATTGCAATAAAGCGACATCCAAAGCAACGATGATCCAAGAATTAACACGTTCAGTAAAAAAATTTGACAAAATGTTGTGTTTGAAAGTTATAACTCGTGGACCAATCGATTGTATCGCATGTCAAAAAATGAATGGAGACTATTTAAGATAACAAGAATATCTACGTTTTGCAGAGAATTTGACAAGGAATCTTTCTATAAAAAAGTTTTTTTTTCGATGCCGAATTATAGATGAAAAATATGCAGAATACTGAGAGATCCATTTAATCTGGGCCACCCGTTACTATGATAGGAAAATGTTCGCTTCGCTTTCGAGTGATAAATTTAACTTGATTTGAATCAAATTCTAAAGTATCGAAGTTTA